GGTGGTGTCGGATATGCGTGCCGCGCGGACAGGCTTAATCGACATTTCGTGGATGTTGGTGACATAAGTTGCCTCACATTTCCCCAACGTAGCCCCAAGATAACCAACATATGCCCAACATAGCCTCCAAGATTGCTCAACATAGGGCCAACATTGGCCAACATAAGCCTAACATGCGCCAACCTGGGCCAACATAGGCTCAACATGGGCCCATGATGTGCTCAACATAGACCACATGGACCCAACTTGGCCCAACCTAGGGCCAAGATGCGCGCCAGATAGCTTTACTTTGCTCAATATAGTCCCCACCAAGTCTCAAAGAGAGAGAGAGAGAGGGAGAGAGACAGAGAGACAAAGAGAGAGAGAGAGAGGACCCAGCCCTGCACATACCCAAACCCAAATAGGCCGGCGCCCGGCTGTCAGGCGTAAGCCTCATAAATAACCATTGTGGTAATCAAATAACCATTGTGGTGTTTCGAGAGTAATCAAAATTTCTCACATTAGGAGAAATATCGAGAAATCAATAAGACATCTTGAAACCATTGTGAGAGTTGACGTGTTTTATTGCCTGGACACGAAACACTTATTGATTTGGTTCAAACATGTTCAATCAAGGTAATGAGATGAGCTAGTTGATAAAGAACCGGTCATCTTAGCTCCTGAGAATTTTCTAACATCCATTCCGCTCGTTGCAGATCTGAAACCATTTGCATTCAGGGTCTGATCTCCTTTTCTACTAGTTTACTAGTAGCTAGCTACTACTAGTAAGGCACCTTGCTACTAGTAGTAGCTTCTTGCTACTAGTAGTAGCTTCTGGTTACTACTAGCGATGCACTTGCTACGCTTAAGTTGCTACTTGCTTCTTTTCAACACAAATGGATTGACAGCCTTCTTCCAGCTTGCAGTGAGCTTGTTGGGCAAATGATGACCCCTTTTGTCCAGCTCCAAAGCCTCGTGTGCCGTCTTCCAAACCACATGGATTTGCCACTCGGGCCGGGCCCCAGGCTCTTCGGTCACGTTGACCCTGTTTCATCTCGTTTCACCCAGGTGTCTCTATCGGCTGAAACCAGCAGAAGTTCTCCAAGCGTCCGGCGCCCATCGCCCCCCGCGGAATCTCTCCTTGCTATGATGCAACCGGTGGGAATACCTCGGTTACACGGCCATCCGTCGGCTGGAACGAGTGAAAGGTGTGCGGGTGGAGGTGGGCAGTGGTTCGTGCTTGCCCCACACGTCGCAGAACTTCGGCCAACACATTGCCAACACCCTTGAACTGCACCTGTGAGAGAAAAGGATCATTAGAACAGTGTGGGTCAAAAAGGTGGGAAAATCATCGACGGCATGCCCAAACCTCTAATGATCGCTGGTGGGATCGATTTTTGCCTCGCTGAAGAAGCACCTCAAAACCTGACCTCCTAACTAAGGTCCTATCCATCCATACTCATCCATTCGCCACGTGACACCAATGGAAAGCTCATCCGAAGTGTGGTAAAGGCCACCAAAAAACCTCGGCGACAGGCTCTGACACCAATGGTGCCAGCAACAGTCGCAACCGCGGCTGGAAAGATGTCTGAAACAATGGCTTTTCAGGAACATTTGGAGGGACCTCTTTTGTTTTTGCAGCACAAGTGTTTGAGGAAGCGCAACATTTGTTCCACATGGCAACGCATCTTCCGGCCGTGTGACATCAAGCGTGGTCGCCAAAGTGTCTGTGAGTCGGAACGTCACTACCCAAACCATCGGAACGTCACTGGCATATATTTACATTGACCCCTGAAACCACCCCAATGTAGATAAATGTTACTAGAATATTGGAATGGATTAAATATGCCATAATATGCCATACGTGGATGGTCTGGGCATGTCTGGGCCATTCAAAATATACCTCATCCTGTTAAGCCAACCTGAGTATCTCACATGGATATCTCAATCCCGGGTGACTTTCCTCTGAAGACATGAAGCCTTGAAGCCTTGAAACCCTGCTGACGCCCTGACGCCTTGAAGGCTTGAGTCCTTACTGACGCCCTGACGCCTTGACGCCCTGCTGACGCCGTGACGCCTTGAAGCCTAGTGACAACCTGAAGCCTTGAAGACCTGAAGCCTAGTGACGGCCTGAAGCCCTGAAGCCTAGTGACGCCTTGAAGACCTGAAGCCTGGACCTGAAGCCTTGAAGACCTGAAGCCTGGTGACGACCTGACGCCTTGAAGACCTGAAGCCTGGTGACGACCTGAAGCCTTGAAGACCT